TCATTATGTGCACATATGGTCATGACGTTCACATATAGTCATACACAGTAAAATGACCTTCGACAAGATGAAGTTGGTCTAATATGATGCATTTTCCCGGAATCAAGTCAGTTATAATATAACATGATCTCTCGTTGTTATGATCTTTCAATAATATGATCATTTTGGTCTAAATACTCTCTATTTCACCATCCATTATCTTTATATACTGATGAACCTGTACTCTTTATCGTTTCCTTTTGGCCATTATTCTACTTATTTATTGTAGCCGAGTCTTCTTCTGGTAAGTTTCTCTGTCATACAATCTATCTTTCGATTTGATAGAGTTTAATTAATATTATTTGCCTAGTATAAAATGCTAAGCTATGATTAATTCTCTTCTTGCAGACAACCGGAAACTCATCCCTATCCCCTCCACTCGCGATCCTTTGATAAGTGAGCATATTCCCCTTGTTCATAACTTAATTTACTAATATTGAATGACGCTATTCAGCTTGTTCATTTCTAACTACAATGGATGAAAACCACAGATCCAATGAAGAAGGCATTTGAGCAAACACCACACATAGACGATCTCGGTCTCTTACAGCATTTTGAAAAACATATTGATGACTGTGCAGCTGAATGGACAGAAGCTCAGCATGATGTTTATTATGCACCATATACTGTTCTTTTCCAAGGATCTGGGACAGGAAAGACAAGACTTCTTCATCAGCTTGCTCAAAACTGCTTTCTTTATACTTGTGCTTTCGTGAACCTACTAGCTCGGGACTTCCACTGGCAACAGTCCGTTTTCATAATTACTTTCTCATGATGGAGGGGAATGCAATTGTTAATGCAGTAGCATTTTTCTATGTTTGTATAGAATATATATATATTGATAAACTGACCATTGAAGATTGGAACTGTCAGCAACACTCCAAAAAATTTGAATCTGATATTGTAAAAAAAGCTTCAGAATTAGTAGAAGACTGGGAAAGAAGCTTAAATACAAATGAGTTGAAACAGATGAGGAATCATGAGGATGTAGAACAATTCTGTCCGAACTCCTTAAAAATTTCGTTGATACCGTAACGAAACATCAGATGTCTATGAAACTTTAGCCATAGTTTGCGCTTTTATTGAGCCACGTTACTGCAAAATTTCAACATACAGTTGATTAACATGTAGACGGTCAGATTTACTTATACCCGACTTCAATCAACCGAAAATGTGAAAATTAAGTTTCTCGACCTGAACGTTTAAAAATGTACACAAATAGAAATTATGCTACAACCCTGTGCGAATTAGTATTTGTTCAAAAGCCTTCAAATTCCTCAACAAAATGTCAAAATATCACATTTTTATCTTACTTGGCTGTCGAGAAATAAAATTGTATATATATTATGTGTTTATTATGTTAAAATTTAATAATCCATGCAATCGGAATAGCATTTAAGCACAACTGTAAAGCAAGATATAAGCTAGAATCTTACTAATACTTTGTTGCAATAACCTTTAGCCCGTTGAACTGCTTTAACTATACTATTCATACTTTGAATAAGTTTCCGAATACAGCATTCATTCTTCCTGAAGAATTACAGCTAATTCCCTCTCAGATACAGGTGGAGGGTTCCGTTGAGATAATGACGATGACTGAAGAAATGCTGATTTTCTAATTTGCCTTTCAAGCTCATCCCATAGATGTTCAATAGGATTAAGATTAGGGCTCTGTCCAGGCCATTTTATCACGTTTATATCCGAATTATCAAAGAATGTCCTTGTCAGTTTGCTTGTATGAACAGTAGCATTATCCTGCTGAAAGTCATACTCAACAATTTCCCATCGAGTTCCTCCATAAATGGTACAGTGCCGTCTCCAAAGTCACCGACCACCCTCTACATTTGAAATTAAATGAACATATTGGCATAACGAGCAATGCAGTTGGCG